TATAAAAAAAATTGCTTACGAAATGTAATGTATCTTATTATATTATTATCTTATTACATATATAATTTGATTTATATTATATTTTACTTTATAGTGTATTACATAATATCTATCGTGTTGTATTATGTATGTTGTATTAAATTATATGTTTCTAGCATATTTTCTTTGCATTATATTTCAAAATAAATTTTATGTGTAAAGTAATAAATAATGAAGAAATAAAAAATTTTTATGCAATTAAAAAGGACTGCAGATTTAAATCGGCGAAGATAGTGGAAAGCCTCTACTACAAGTAAGTCCGTTTTTATCGAATTAAACTTTATTTTAAATTCTTAAATTAAAAATATATAGTTCGCATAGGAAAATTTATCAAAGTTTTTATCGTAATTATATTATATCGGTCAAAACAGAACAGCCTAAAGTTAGAACGGCTTGTACATCTTTTTATAATGAATATCTAAACAATGGTATTAAATTTAGTTTCCTCTGTTGCATTTTTTTTCTATATGTTTTGCACTAAATACTTTTAAACAGTATTAAAATATTCTTGATGCTTTTTAATGTTTTTTTAAACTTAAACTATTTTAATTTTTAATTAATATTTTTATAATGCATTATAAAGCAATTATATTCTGTGGACATAACAATGAATAGAACCAAATCAGTGTACGTAATGCGGAACAAAATCGAAAACCATGGGTGTCTTATTCGCCAGAAATATCCATGGTTAGTTTAATGTTACATTTTTTGCATATGGAAGCCCTAGTAAGTGAGTTCTATCTAAAATATAAGCACGTTTACTCTTAGGCTTCTTTTTACTTCAATCAAACTCTCAAATTTTCATGATTATGAGTAAAGCGCTAAGAGCGTAATAATTGAGAAAAATATTAATATTGTTATTGACATAAAAATTTTTAAACATGAATAATTAGTTTAATGCAATATTATTCATTTTATATTAATCATTTTATAATTAATTTAGTAAATATGTATATGTTATAATTTTTTTTAGTAATTAATAAATAATTTAATAATAGAAATTTAATATACTTGCAATGACTTTTTTAACTTTAATATGAAATTTTTGAAAATTTTATTGTAATAAAGTTTACATAAACCGTTTTACATAAACTGATTTTCTTTCTGGATTTAAAAGGATAAATTTTCTTTTGTCAGATTAACATATCAAAAACAAACAATATGAAGATTGATTCATTAATTTCAGAAGATTAGGAATATAGGAATCCATAATCACTTTGATATATAATACTATTTGATTCTTTTGAATTATGTGCTTGCCTATGTATAATAAGACATAGTAGACAATAGGCTTGGAAATAATTAATTTATTACCATTACAAGATTATACAAGTGCGCAGATATACAAATACCGTACAAGTATCTCGAAAATTCAATGTGCTCATTTAATCTGCACGTCGCAGTATCGTCTGCTAAAGCCAGCGTGTGTTTTACAGAAATTGAGCATTTTTAAAATTACACTTATAACAGTTGCAACGATATAAAATCAAGGCAATTCATATACACCTTAATTCTGATGCAACTAATAAACATGTTTGTGTAAAGCTATAAAAGACATTTATATTGAAGCACAAAATATTATATGCAACAATTTCAATTGTATAGCAAATGTCTCTATCCCTTCATGCGTTTACGTTAACAGTTAATGCAGAAATGTTACTTTATCCTTGTTGTTCACCGAGTATTAAACAAGGATTAAATGATTCTCTTTGCGCTAACTTACTGCGTAAACGAATGCACCCTATATGATACAAAGATCGCAATTGCATCGTTTTCACAATGGATTTAATAGCAAAAAAGAACTTTTTCAAAATAGAAATTTCATATTAACATTAAACAAATTATAAAGAGATTCTTTTTTATACATTTTTTAGAATCTTGAGAACAATTCGATGTCTCATTTCTGTAACGATATAATAAACATCTAATTATATATGCTTAGACACTTCCATTCTTTTTCATATAAATGCATGCAAGTATCAAATATTTCTTATGAACATTCTAATTAACATCGCCAATCTTTTAACGATTATGATTCCACGTGAAGAATAAATCGTTATCGCAGCACGGTATTTGTATTTTAATAATTACGTTATTACGCATGTTAATTATGATCCGTATGTAATCATAATTTATACAATCTCAGAGATTCTTAAATACTCGTTTAATTACTTCTTTATGTAGTTTATATCCAGTGTAGCAATAAATCTTTTCTTTGCTGTTAAACAGTTTGACTTACTTTTATCAGTAAAATTTTATGAAGAATTCTGAAATAATTTCTATCTCGCGCCATGACGCTTCGCTTGTTTAACATTGCCATGACTCTAGATATTCTTTTTAATTTTTTTAAATTAATTTATCAATATATAAATAATAACGAGTATATCAATACATTTGTATGCTACTATTTAAAAACCCCTGAGATATTGTATCTTAGAACAAGCATAAAGGTATATAACTCCCGAAATGGAATGAATATAAAAATCATTCTTAAATATAATTTAATCTTTAACTTAATTTACCTATGCATAGCGAGTCAATTGCATAATTATGAAAAGCTTAAATGTTTTAAAAGCCTTTTCTGAAACGCTTCCCTTTTATTTTACAAAAGAAGACAAAGAAATTGCAAGAAAAAAATCATCTTTCAAAAAATTTCAAATTAGTAGCGCAATACAAAATCGCAGTATATACAATCCGAATCTAGTCTGATTTTGGTATCAGACGTTTAAGGTTTCCACAATTTTGCGGGGCTCACGAATGCAGATTATGTTAAAACGTAAGTTTCAACAGATATGGCACCGTATCTATAATTTACGTATCTTTATATGTACATAAAGTATATACAAAAGAAAGAAAAACATAAAATAAAAAATGAAAATTCGCACTCGCCTCGAATGCAAAGATTTTCAACAGAATATGAAGCAAAATATATCAATATATCTATAAATAAGTATAGAAAGATATATCTTTTAAAAGTTATACCATTTATTAGAAATAATTGTGTTGCTCGAAAACCGTTATAATAGTAACCATTTTCCTCCACTACATTTTTTCTGTTTTTTTTTTACTGTTTTCTATAATTTTACTTTAAAAGTTTAAAAATTTCCTTAACCGCAAACTATACAAATCCGATATGCAAAATTCATTATCATTCGGATCAACGCGTCGGGAAAGCATCTCACCGGCTCTATGTACACTGCAAACTGTAGATTATGAATTCCAGTTGCGTTCCAAATTTTAACAGTTTGGAAACATATCGAGTGTATCGTTCTTTTCTAATCACGACTTGAAATGATTTACAGCGAACAAGTATACACAACTTGTGTAACTTAAAAGTTAAATTCTTATTATTATTACGTAGAAATAAATAATCGTAGAGCGCTAAATATATATATATATATATATATATATATACACTAATGTCGATCGTCGCCGCAGTATCAGATACAATTCGATAACATTAACAATTCACTCACAAAAAATCTAAAAGTGGAGAGAAAACTTTTAAGATATTTTAGCGAAACTGATAGCTTTTACCAGATAGATATACACAAATTCCATGACGTATAGTTTGTACAATCTTACTCAGCCGCTATGTCCAAAATGCATTCATTTTTTCGATGTAGCAATATTTACAATAATTCAGAGGTAATTCGGTACTTTAATTACAAATCACTAGTCATGACTTATGTTACAATAAATCGCATATGTTATAAAATAACATCCAACAATAGTACAGGAACTATTTCACAATTTCATCTCATTCCTTTCCATACAATTTACAAATAGTTTTTAAAAATGTCCACATGTCTAACAGTACTTTTATATTCTCAAAAAGTTGATATATTGTTTAAGTTTATTTAGAGAATAAGACCTGTTATATATTTATTTAAACGAAATAATATTAATAAAATAACGAAATAACTATATATATATATCTATAGAATCAATGTCCATAGAATAACAAAACGCCAAACATTGTTTCATAAATTATTTTTAAAAAATTATTTTAGCTATTCTTTATATTATTAACAGTTCTTGTATTGATATGAAATTTATATTTCCACTAAAATTTTTTGTAAGCATAAATTAATCTACATCAAATTTAAATTAATTAACTCTTTGAATACAAAAGTAGAGACACAGTGTAAAATAAAAAATTGTTCTTAATAACACGGTGCTTCATCGAAAGAAAATTGTTTAAGAAAATGCAATCTAGAATGGTATATGTGTGACGCAAATAAGAATGATCTAAACTATATAATTCATGTATTAATGTATCTTCCTCGATATTTTTGTTTTATGTTCATCTTCCTTATGTCTTGTATAACCTCATGTGTTGTAAACATACATGTAATATCTAAACTTATTACTAAAAACGCAATATGCTCCAGTATAATGACGAAAAAATTGTTTACATTAATTCGGGAGTAGGCGCGTTCTGGTCATTTTGACCGAAATATATTTTCGCACATTTTTGTGTTATAATTAGAATACATATATGATTAAAATTATTAGAAGTAATAAGAAAACTTATATCTTAAGTAATAATTAATAAGAAAACGTTTTGACGTTTTATATTAATCAATTCAAAACAAAGGAACGTAATAATTACTAGAAATAATTGTATTTATATGATATATCTTTATTTTAATTTTATCTTTTTTTGTTTGTTAAAATTATTGATATATATAACAAAAAATAATAAGAAAATTATAATAATTTTATTTTTTATTTATAAAAATATAGTAATGGGGGAAACTGGCGGAGACGACAAACATTAACATTAATAAGTAAGTGCGCGCGCTACGGTCTTTAGATCGACTTGTTACAAACATATCAAATTTTATGTAGATATAAGATATAATGTTTATGTCATCTATTTTCTCATAATATATGAAAAAACATTAACAAACATTTATATAAAGGTAAAAATATAATAATGCCAATAAATTGAAAGATAGAAAAATAGAAAACGAAAGAGTATGGCAAAATAACCGGTATGCGATTACTCCCGGATTAATAACGATGATTTTAAATTCTTTTTATTTTGTTCGATCTGCCGGTGCTAAATTATATTATTAAAAGCAGTACAAAACCATTAGCTTCCATAATGCTATCTTTTTGATTGCGGTTTTTTCGAATGTCGTAACTTTTCATGCAGTCCTGTGCGCGATAACCTGCCACGCCTCATAATCTTCCGCTAAGTCATGCTAAGTGTTAGCTTATGTTCTTCAGCGGCATATTCCTTAAAGTTTTTATTTAGTCGATATATCGAATCAAGAAACATTCTCTCCGTCGCTTTTCATTACCTTCCCTTGGATTACGAGTTTCGCGATAATATCTCGTCTAACAAAATGACCGAAAAATTTAAGAATTTACATTTGGATAGTTGAAAGTAAACACTTATTCGTATTAATCCTCAATTCTCTCAAGATGGAGTTATCAGTTCTTCTTACTACCCATGTAACTATAACATTTTGTGATAGCATGTCATCTCGAAAGCCTCTTCATCTACGGCAGGCAATACCCATTGTCAAAACTCGAATCCGCACAAATGGCAATGAGAAAAATCAAAGTCTGAACTAGTTGTTTTTCTTTTCTAATGTTATATCATAATGCTATGCCAAAAATGATACGAGATATCTTATCTCATAGTTTCTCAATTCTATTTGGGAACTAATAGTTTATTTATGCGGAATTTTATATATCCGATGACGATTTATTCTCGTACCGCGCATCCCAAATACGAATCATATCTTTATCATTCATATAAACTAATCGCAATAGCGTGTTTTAACACAGTAAATTATACGTTAATAAAATAACAAATTGATATAGATTAGTATAATGCTAGAAAATCTTTTGCGATTCATCATCAGCGTTTCCTGAAATTCTGTTATCAATCTCGGGAAATCGAAAAAATCGCGGCAATGTCCATGAGATCGATTACAAAGTGACGTGATATTTGTTCGCAATGCCAACTAACATGATGACAATCAATAACACACGGGCGGCGACGATGACGACAACAATGGTGATAATGATACCGGCGGAGAATCAGACCTGTCCACCTACATCGGCTTGATATCGCAACGTCAAATATTCAGCTGCCTCTGTCATACGGGCGATGCTGCTGTGAAGACCACGCAGATGACGCTTAAAGTTTTCGGCGGCGATGCTTGCTAGATCGCATTCTTCACCTTCTAGGCCGCTGTCAATTTCAATGCCGTTCTCAGAGTCCGAGTCGGAGGTCCAGGCGATCGAGGACGCGCTCTGTACACTCTGCATAGACGTGGTGCTGGGACAACGCACATGGCCAAGTCTGCCACTGCTTATAGTCTGATGGTGCGTCAGTTCAGATGGGCTACCAATCGGGTGACTCTTAATCGGCGTCTGATCGTCCGCCACGTTGCCTCGTGTAGGCTCCTGCGACCACAGTAACTCGATCTTCATCTGATTGATAATATTGTACAGACGGTATAAGTCGGTGTTGGCCAAGGTGTCCTTCACCGTGCAGCCACGTTTGCCCTTCATGCAGATTGTATCACCCGCATCACCCACAGATAGATCCAGCAGACGACTAGGCACCAGAATGGTATCCTCCATCTCGCTCACGGTGCGCACGAACTTCTCCATGCTATTCAAGATACTGGCGTTGCTGAATTCCGGCTCATCATGCCGGGCGATCCTCCGCAGACTCCTATAATGAAAATTATTTATTGTTTTTTTAACATGTTACACATTTCGAGATAATCTTACGTTTAAAAATGGAAAATTATACTTAGCACAGCAAATAATGGCGAAAGTAAAATATCGATAATAAAAAAAGATATAATAATAAACGATTTATTAAGTATAATAAATACAATACAACAAGTAAGGAATAACGCCTATAACGATCGAAGTTGGATCTTAGGATTACTGAATTTTAATCATTTCTGGTTGTCGTAAGATGGAAAAATTATTGTAGTATAGATCATAGTTAAATATATTTGATAGATCTTTTTTGATGTATCTTAGATGCTTAAATATTTTCATGTGAATTTATATACTACGTATGAAGTCTCATTTGAATTGCGCGCTGAATTTATTTTCGGACTTTTCAGTATATTAAGATCTTTTTAAAGTGCTACCAATTGAGCATTAAATTATTAAATTGCATGTCAATTTGTGATATTATTATAATAAGTTTCAGTTTTTTAAATCCAAAAAATCAATTCAGCGGGCAATTAAAAAACGACAATTATAAATTGAAATAAAAATATTTAAGCATCTAAGATCTATCAAAAAAGATCCATCAAATACATTTATGATCTATACTACAATAATTCTTCCATCTTACGACAACCAAAAATGATTAAAATTCACAGTTTAATACTTTCGTCATCATAAATGTCATCATAAATTCTTCTTCAAATATCATATAGAATGATACATTAATGTTGAGATCATAAGTGACGCATATGCTAATAAAAAGTGTGCATTACTGATGGTAAATATGACATTGGTGAAAAATATTAAAGAATATATTGGGTTGTCCGGAAAGTTCGTGTCGATGTTGAAGGAAAATTGAAACGCAGAAAATTTAAATTTTAGTATACATTTATTAAATTATATAGGTTAGTCGGCACGAATTTTCCGGACAATCCAATACATAATATTAATTTCATAGTGATATTTTATTGAAATTTTGCAACATTAAAGAGGTCACAACATCTACATTCCCTTTTATTACCATACAACTTCTATTTGGAATTTTTTTAGCAAATTTGCATATTTTCGGAATATTTTCCTGTAAGATTAAAATGAATAACTCTGTATATAACAAACACAATAGAAGATAATTGTATCTAATAGGATCTACTAGGTCTAATAGGTCTACTTAAACGTAATTGCGATATTTTTATCAAACATTGAAAAAGTTAAATTCAAAATAGAAACATTTCTGGAGCATTAATTAAAAATATGGAATTTTGAATATTTACATGAATGCAATGAAGATTTATTTATCCATGTTACTTACAAATAATAATATCTCTTAAAAGTGTTTCATAAACAAATTTTTTTTAATTGGAATTAAAAAATTCTACGATCAAAATCAATTTTATCGATCTCGAAAATTTTTAACAAGATTTTTTTAAGTTTGTTAGAAAACGTCGATCCTCAAAGGGTAATTAATTAGCTTTTCATCAGACTATAATACGATTTTTAAAGTTTTAACAATTTTAAGAAATATAATTTTCTTAAAACAAAAAATTGTTATTTCATACTCATAAACTAGGGATGTGAGATTTTCGGATCGAATCATTAAAAATTTTTGACAAAAACATTACTTCGAAATAATTAAAAAGAAGTGAATATTTATAAAGAAATCAATTTAAAAGAGTTCCTTTTAGTTAGAAAAATCAATTTTTTATAAAAATAGATTGGTTTAAAATCACTATTTTTGGGAAGATCAATTTTTTACAGAATGAAATATCCTATCATAAACATTTGCAATTAATTCTAACAAAACTTTTGGTATTAGTAATTGGAGAAATCATCCGGATTTTTCTCTTCACAAAATCGCCATATTTTTATTAATGAGACTGACATTGAGACAGCCATTAATGAGTATCTGGAATATATTATACAATGTTCTGTGCGATGACTTGACTTTGCTCGTCGGCTGGAGATATTCAGTAGTCAAAACATCATAAAAGATTACTCGAATGAACGTTCAACATTTTATTACGGAAAAGAAGATTTCTTAAACGGCTGATTTGTATGCGTACGTTTAACAATGATGGCGTAATAAATAAATATGATGCAATGTCATCAAGCAAATAGTGACACATTTTCGAGCGTGACACTGTTTAAGAGAAATATCCGATGCCCTCGTCTTCGATGCGGTTTGTAATTCGATTTCATATCTTTGGAAAATGTTAATATTTACCATCGCTATGACTATAACAACTTATACATCTATGCATACATGATTGAGAAGTTGTTAAAAATAGCTGTTAATTTATAATGAATTGATAAAATAAAATATGACTCTTTTGATTAGTACAAAAAAGAAATATATGGTTTTATGTCTTAAATCCATATTAGCATTTACAAATCATCTACTATAAATTATGTCTAACCATATATTTAATATAATATTATAATCTCAATATTAATGACTATCTCATTTTTTATAATATTATAATCTCAACATTAATAACTATCTCATTTTTGAAGTGTAAATTTAAAAAGTTTAATAAACATTTACCACAAAAGTATAATTCTAAATAACAGAAATTAATTTTTTTAGTTAATTTTGAATAAAGCTTATTTAGACTACGTTCCAAAACATTATTTTGAATAAAAGAGTTAATTTATGGATCGATATTCATAACTTTCTTTTAACGTTCTTATTTTAAATTTTAATCTGTTTTTATATGTTAATATCTTTTAAGATATTAATACAGCTCCGATATCTTCTTCTCTTTAATAATATGAGTATGGCTCTATGATTCGTTTATACTATCAATACCAAGCCATTAATTAATTCTTTTACTTAGAACGAGATTATTGAACACCGCTTTGATATGCAAATTGATATTTAATAAGTAAAACTAAGAAGTCCAAATAAATCAAAAAAAATTTCTTTCGCGTAATTATATAAAGGAAAGAAAGCGGAAATAAGTGAGGAATTGTGGAATACCATGATATCTTGTATAGTTCGCGTTGCATTCTGAGGTAATCGTCAAAATGATTTCTTTACAAACTGCTTAGGTAACATAATCACTAGTCAATAGTGTTTACTACATAAAGCTACATCTCAGTTTTATATGTAACAGACAGTTTTATAAGTGTAGAGTAACTCCGATATTTATGCCGTCAGAAAAAAATAGGAGTGGAAATAATTTGCACGCAACCACTCTGTTATATACTTTATGTTATATTATATTAGTAATGTGTTATGATTTCAATTTTTTACTGTTAATATTAATAAAACCACTCTCAGTTGAGTCGATTTGTCAATGTAGTAAATAGCACAATCATATATCATAATTTATACATAAAATGATTACTGTAGGCAGTGTTAATAGTTATTTGATGATACATAAATGTAGAGGAATAGTAAAGAATGAAATATAGCAGAATAAAAATGCTTAGCTCTTGCATTCTTTATTCAGCTTGAGATTATCTTGTATATCCTACTTATTTGGAATATGTGGCATTTTTAGTGAGCGGAATTTATGCCCAAAGCAAACAAAGTGCGCAGATTGGATTCAGTCATTAAATAAATGCAATGTATAAAACATGCTCATATCATGACACTTATATGCAAAAAATTAGAATTATTATCTATTATCTATTCGTATACATATTCAGGGTAGACCAGAACGAATCGGATCATTACAAGTTTTGAGGCAGTTATCATTACCTTTTTCTTTCGTGCGATCTGTTTTATTATGCTAGTTACTTTCATGCGCTCCCCCTGCAGCGGAAACAACAGATAACAATTTTATATTATGTGTGACACAATATCAATCGACGATATAAGCGCAGAGGTCGTGAATGGCACGAAGAAATTTCGTCTCTTATATAAAGTCACGATCTTGATTTTGTGAGTTCATAACGAAAAAATATGTTGAAATGTGTGTAATTATATGATATTTGCAGTGTATAGTTTTTTAAAATCAGTCTAGTATATAAATAATAAGTATTTAATAATATCATTAAGATGTTTTGGAAAATGTAGTGTATGAAGTTGACATATGGGATTAATCGGATAACTTTTTTCGGGGGTGATTCGATCATGAAATTAGGAATAAAACTGAAGATTAAGAGTAAACCTAATTTATGTAGAATGGTATTGCATTTATTGCACTGAAAAATTTGTCCATCCACCTGTCGAAAACTGGATTCAATGCAACAAATGTGAAGAATGATGCGAAAGCTGTGCTAAGAGAAAAGGACCATTACTTGTAATTTGTGTGTTAAGTAGACTATTTTTATTTTATATAACAAGTTTATTTCAGAGTTTGTTTAGAAGAATTCAAAGATTTCAAAGAATTTATTTATTTATTTTTATATGTAAACTGATGATTCGTTTCGCTTCTCAATTTTGGAGCGAATTG